GATCCTATTTACAAACACCATTAGAACAAATCATTCTATTCATTAAGAGAATGCAACTATATATCTATCCTAACCACTTTGAATATACAGATATAAAATGGACATTCATCAGTATGCCCCATTTATTCTAAGTTCCATTATTGAATATTATAGGGATTTGTTCATAAAGTCTTTCTACTTCTATGTCTTCAAGGTTTCTATCTACTTTGTCTTTCAGTAGATTTAGTGCTTCTCTTTTAGTACTTAGATCTTTGATGCATTTTGACTTTAGTAGAGTGAATGGTGATAGACATGGGTCTAGTTTTAGTCTTCAGCATATATAAAGCCAATTATTTCAACACCAATTATTAAAGAGGCTATCTTTCTTCTAGTGAATACATTTGGCATGGGGACCTTTCAAATATGATATGTAGGAGACCGTGTCCCTGTGTATTGTGAGCCCTTTTTAGTTGAGAGAGAATATTCTTTACTCTTGAATCTGAGCACAAATCAAAATAAGGTTATAAGAACCAACATTAGGAATTATTATCACCTGTTTTGTCTTTTTCTAAAGGAGAAACCTGTGAAAACTAATTCCCCAGAAGATGAGATGGGAGAGAAATCTGTCCAAGATACAAGCCTTGAAGTTTTAAAGACCCTGGACCCGCTGGTGATTGGAATGCCTCAGGTAAGGATTCTTTTGCCATCTGCCTAAAGCTCTGCCCACTCGTGTAGAAAGACATAAGTTGGTTCTGCATGTATCATTAGCTCCTTCTGCTCCAACGTGAGGAAGTGCATCACAATGCCCAGAGTCCAGCACATAGTAGTTTCTCAGAAACAGATGCTAAATTGATTTATATGATGATGAAGGTAAGTGATACAGACTGCTTATAACTGAGAAGTGCATAACAATTTATAAAAACCTTAATATATTATTTTTCTTCTTCCCCTAACCTGTCTAAAACTATCATTGAGTAGTAAGTGGTGTCTATGATGCAATTAATCCCAAACTTTCCCTATTCATCTGGGAAAGTATTAAGAACATCCTTGCTGAGGACTAACCAGACCCCTAATTAATCTGAACCTCAAGAGGAAAAGCCTCTGAATTCATACTTTTTAAAAAACAATGTAGCCTGAGAGATGATTTCAGTGGCCAGAAGTAATGGCATGCTCAAGAGACCATTACCTTCCAGCCCATATAAGTGGATCAAATTCTTCATCTAGTACAGTATATGGCTCTTGAATTGTCTGGAATACTTATTTCAAGTGCAGATTTCTAGGCCACATACCCAACCTACTGAATCAGAGTATCTGAGCAGGAGGCCCACAAATCTACCACCAAGTCCCATAGGTCTGATGCCTACTGAAAAGTGAAACCTTCTGAGCCAGAAGTAAAACTAGCAGCAAACTCTAAAAGACCTGCAGTGCTAAACCTTGTGGTTGATGAGCCAATGAAAATGTTAAGTAAGAGCCAAACATTGAAAGTGATAGTTGTAGAACAATGATAGTTGTTCATTACCAACATACAGTAAACTAAGAGGAAAGACACATACACCATATCTGACACAGGCCCTGCAGCAGTGTCATGATGTTAAGAATGAAACATAAGAGGGAACAAAATATTTTACTGTGAAAAGAACTCCACTTGGTGATTAAATACTAGTGCTCAAGACAGGAGGAAAAGTCCAAGTTGACACCAAGGCTTCATGACCAAAGTCTCCCACAGGGGAACATTCTGCTGAAACAGACTGTGGACAGCCCACATCTCCAGAAGCTGAGACATGCAGAGCCCCAGCAGTCTGCTCACCATTCTTTCCCAGTCAGTTTCCATGTGGCAGGGCCTACTTCAACCTTTCCTCTTCATGTAATTGGTGGAGCATTTTCAGTTGTCACATTGATAAAAGAGATATCAGAATTTACCGAATGATCCCCAGGGGTGGTAAATTTCCAACAGGGTCTGGCTCTACCTTTCACAGTGAAAAAAATTGTCTTGCCTCACATTCCAGGAACAAACCCCAGAGAGAAACAGTGACAAATGGTTACCTGGAAGTGAAGGTACTATGTGGAGATTTTATGTAATTATTTTATTTTGACTTAAATTTTTTTTTTCTTAAAGAGTGAAATTATGCAATGAGCGAACAGTTTTTAAATCAGAAACACATAGGGAAGCTTAGAGAGAAGTCATGGTGTGCAGTTAGTCATCCTCACAATTTGCCTATGTTTCCCACAGGTGCTATGGCCAAGAATTCTTGTTTTTGTGATACCTGAAGAATATACCGGAACACTGGACTACCTGCTAAACATTATCAGAATCCTGATTATGGCCGAGGAAAGGAAGAAGAATAATGTCACAGAGTCCACAGCCCTTGTAGTCTCTCCAGGAGCTGGTTTGTACATTGATAAGCAAAGCAGCACTTTCCTATTACAATGACAAAAGTCTCATTTCCAGAAGGTCTCTCATGCTTTGATCTTACACCTAACCCCAGTCTGAATTTTTCCAACCCCTCCAGGGATAATTCAACTTCTTTTCTCTTTTTAGTGAAACTCCCTTCACCTCAGCAGCTACTGGCAAGACTTCTGGTGAGTTACAAAGAACCAGGGTAAGATAAATTTTACTTAAAATGGATAGTTCAGTTCAAACAAAAACACTAATAAAAGTTGCATAAGTACTCCAAGCTAAAAGAAAGACTAAAATAGTGCAATAATTGTTCTGATCTATTAATGACACTCTTGAATATACTGGCAAGATTATCTTCTTATTTTGAAATGCTTGCTAAATATTATGATTTTAGAGTAAGTGTAGACTGAATCTCCTCCTAAATGTTATTTTGGAATTTTTAAGTACCCTAAAAATTCCACATTGTTTCTGTACATTTTCTTTCCTACCTTCCATTTATTTATTTATTTATTTATTTATTTATTTATTTATTTTCCTTGGGACACTCTATCATTTCTTCAAGCCCTGTTCTTCCCCATACATTTATCAGCAGATTTATTTAAGGGTTAAGGTTCTTTCCTATTTTGTTGTTGATTATTTTATTTTTATTTCTGTTGATTGTTTCCGTGTACCTTTTGCTTGGAGGGGGAAAAACTGGGAGGATTCTCCAAAGTATTAACTATGCATAATGGCTTACTAAAGGGTTTTCCAGTTTAGGAATCTAGTCAATAACGAAAACAAAGGGAAAATAAAGGTGGGTCTCTTTTTTATGTATTTGGTATAGGGTCTCACTGAGGTATGACTTTTAAATACCTCTGTCATTATTAATCATGTTCCTCTTCCATCCTCCAGGTAATATCTATTCTTGCCAGCTTAGGGAAGTTATGTGGGGCCAGTGCAATAGGACTGTTAAAGATACTCCCTGAGATGATTCACCCCAAGTTGGTGGACCTGTGGAAAACACGCATACCCGAGCTCCTACAGTCTATGGAAGGTATAAAGGAGAGGAGCTGGGTCTTTATCCAAGGATGCAAGAAAACAAGGATTTCTCTGTATGATAGCACTATTATTCTTGGTATACAAGGTTGACAGCTCTATTTTTTATTGATTCCTTACATTTTACTTCTTTCTTGATACTCAATGTGGGGAATGTGGCTTACAACAAATTTCACTTTAATCCTTTTATATATGAAAAAACTTTTGGGGGTTGTGCGAAAAGAACATCATTCATTCATATTAGCACTAAAATAAATATCATTTCATTAATTCTGAAATTAACAACATGGGCTTAAAATGGTGTCTCTATCTGAGAAGTACTTTAAAGTTTCCAACATAGTCAATTTCACCTCAGGGACCCACTCTGAGGAGGTATATATATTGAAATGGAAGTCCAACATCCACTGGGGACCCAATAAGTGAGAATTTGAATCTTGGTTTACTTGTAGTTACTGTATCAATTTTTATTTCTAGGAAAGAGTGCTAGTTTGGTGTTGTGGGAAACCATGTTGCTTCAGGTAAGTGTGCCTTCTAGACTAATCAGTGATAACAGATGGGGAACTATGGCAAAGTTGCCTCTCTTGACAACTAGATTAAAACAACACAAGAAGTAGATTCTAAAAGCGGTGAACAATGCTTTTTTTTTACTTGAGAAAAGGACTAGAATGTTGGAAGTGATTTTATAAGGGTAATGTTCTTCTAAAAATTAAAAAACAGGATAATGCTCTTTAAATCATCATAATGCAAACTGAAATCTTCAATATTCTCTCTCACACATAAACTTTTGTACCTTTACAACTCAACAGGGCATCACCAAATCCCAGAAATGACACATTGCAGCCAGGAGGCAATTAAATACTTCAACTTAGGAAAGGACAAGTCAAGAAGCTCATGAACAATTAGCTTTTAATAGAGCAGGCTTTCAGCTCCCAAGTCATCTACACAGTACATCACTGTGGCTTCTCAGAAATGTTGATTTTCACTGACATTTTTTCTGTTTTAACGAAGAAAGGTAGACATTAAAGGACTGCTTCTGACCTTGAATTAGGACAACTAGTGAAACCAAAAATATTTACTTAATAATTGGCAGAAATGTGCCGGTACATCTAACTAGTTATTCAAGACATTTAGCTTTTAATTTTAAAGCTATCCCTTAGATGCATTTTTAAGTATCAAATAAACCAAACTAACATTGAGAGATGAAACATTTCAAGTCTGAGATGTGAAAAATGCTAACTTCAATTTAAGTTTCAGTTGGGATTAGCTTTAAGCGTTTCAGCAATTTCTATCTAAGAGGGAAAAGGGAAAACATTTATAGTTATTTCTACATCCTATACCTTTTGGCATTAATGAAAGTTCAGAACATATCAGAAAATAGTTTCTAAAATAAACTAACAGGAAAAGTTTCAAAGTAATCAGTTATTTCACGGTAAAAGGAATAGTGCCACACAAAATACATTCATACTTTTAGAAGATAAGGTAGCAAACAAATGTGTAAGAAAGCACATTACACAACCACACTCACATCAAACTTTCACTTCCTTCAACAGTTGCTCAAAGAATCTTTGTGGAAGATCAGTGATGTGGTCTGGACCATTCAACTGAGCCGAGAATTTAACCAGCAGATGAACAGTTACAGCAACGCTTCCATTGAGAAGGTTAGTTTTCAGCTAAGGGACCGTAGCATTTACATTATGACACAAAACTCTATCTTGTCTGTAATCAAACAAAAGGAGTGAGAGAGAAAAAGAGCAAACTCCTTGAAGAACATTTAGCAAATGTTGAATATTATCTTCTTCTCTTATCCTCCACTTTGTCCTAAACATGATCACATGGCCTCATCTTTCTCCAAGTGAAAGTGGCACAAGATAGACATGTGCTTGACTAAAAGGTACAAACTCTTGTCTAGAGAAGGAAGGAAAATGGATAAAACCAGGCAAAGAGTGGGCTGCGCCACAGAACTGGTTCGATGTCAGCTGATGTTTTGATTTGCATTATGCCAGTCTTGTGAGGCTGGCTATCAGAAATAATATGCTACAGTTAACAAAAGCTTGGAAGGAAGAGAATGCCCAAAGTTAGTCATCCATTTCTCTATCTCCAAATGACCACTCCACCACACCCCACTTTGTAGGCTTTCCTCTGAAAAGCAGTTTAAATCAATTATGTGCTGATCATATAGCCTAAGGGAAGCTGTTTAATCTCTCTGGATCCTCAGAATCCTTGCCTTTAAAAATAGAGACAATACTCACACCATGAAGTCTGTAATATAATGAGGGTTTGAAGCACAGAAGGTTCCTGGTGAGGTGCTTGGCACAAGCGTGGCCAGTATAAAAGTAGCTTTGACTGTGGTCATTATGATGTGAATATCTTTCATAAATTAATTTTCTCAGAAAAATATTTCTTATGTTTCATCCATGCCTATGCTAAAGGCATTTTCTAAGAAATTATTCAGCTCTCTTAAGTAATTTTTGAAATTCCTTGCCCTGGTTGGCTGTCAGACTCGGTGCAGAGTACTGATTCTGCAGACTGACCTACCAAGCCTCATGATCCACAGGAAGATTTCATGCACACTGCCTCATCTTCTTATCACACAAACTTTCATGGATGCCTCACATCATTCCATCTATCCAATAGCTTCTACACCCACAAAATCACTCCAGGATAGTTGTGGAGTGCGTAGACAGAGAATTTTAAGTAATGAATTGCCTTGGAAGACGCCAAACTCTTGTACAGAACACAGGTAAAGTAAACATGGACCAATAGCTCTTGCTGCACAGGAAGCTACTTGCGCTGGCTTAAAATGATTGTCATGCATTTAGTTTACAGGTTTTCAGTTCAACTGTTTGGGGTGGTATAGACCAGCCTCAGATTTTCACCCTTACTCAGGCTATGCTCCCTCTGATAATTGAAAATACAGCAGCCGTTCCACCTGTCTTTTTCTCTTTATGTACCCTCTTATCCCAAGTCAGACTGGCCTGCACAGTTTCTCTTGAGAGCATTAATTTTGTTTCCTCTATTTCTACTACTCTATCAGTTCCTTAGATTCCATTCTCATCAATGATGCCCATTCAATAGCTATAACTTTTAAAGCTTTGCAGAATCTGTGAATTGAGCCAGCAATTGCCAGTTTTCTATTTTACATGTGACAGAGATGGAAATCCTAAATACAGAGGTGCTCCACTGATATTATGCTACTGTAAAAAATTTGAACATTCAATGGCTAATCTAATTCATAATCAAAATAATCCTCTTTTTCATATAGTATGTTCATTTGTTAACCATTTATTTGCTATCAGGAGCTATATATTATTAATAATGAACAAGACCTCAGAGTCCAAATTCTGAGCATAGATACAAGAAAATGAAAAATTACATTAGGGAATGAAAGATATTATAATGATATAGATCAACATATAGAAGAGTGAAGAATGAGCGTTCAGGTGGGAGAAAGAGCCTGGAGGAAAGAATCACTTTGTTGAAGAAATAGCTGTGTTGGATAAGAAGCTATCAAATCACCCAAGTTTCTATCCCTCAGATGACTATTTTAACCCCATTCCACTTTCCATCAGTGTCTAGATTCCTGCCCATTAAAATTCTGTTATTCATCTTTTATTTTCCAGAAATTTCTTTGGAAGGCCTTGGGAACCACTTTATCTTCCTGCCAAGACCTAGACTTTGTAAGCTCACAGCTTAAGGAATATCTGATTGCTCCCAGCCAACTAGGAGACCAAAGACAGGTGGGACCCCTTGCTATCAATTTCCTGTTATGATGATAACTGTTAATCCTGTCCATGAAACTGTGGCAACATTTACCTCACCTTGATTATCAATTAATAGATTCAGAAAAATCCAACAGAATATTTTTTTGAAATAATGAGGTTCCCTTATTTTATTTTTTTTTCTTTTATTAATTTTATTGAGAAACAAATAGCAATGAGACAGTTTCAAAACCGATTAATAAGGCAGTTTCAATAATTAATACATTACATATTGTTGTCTTCATAGTGGTTATTCATAGTATAATATGAAGACATGATATCCTGTCCAAGCACTATTAGTACAAATCTTTCTTCTCAGAGGTTCCCTTATTTTAACAATAGTATTTCATTTTTTTAAATTTTTACACAATAAAGGTGAAACAAACTTTCATAACAAAATAATAGGAGGACAATAATATTAACATATCACATGTTTTTATCATTAAAGTGGTTGCTCAGAATACAAGATATAGGCATAAAAATTGCTCCAGTGGATATTAGTACAAACATTCCTTTGTAAGCAACTAAGAGACACTAATAGTATAACTGAGTTGCATTTTTTTTCCTCTTTCCCTTCCATCCTTTTCCATTTCTCCCACCCTAGTTCCTTTTTCCTTTTGAATAATTTCTTCCTATTTCACAATATCTATTTTACATTTATATATTCTTCCAGTTTCTCACACCAGGGAGACAAAACAGTGTTTATACATGTGAGTCTGATATATTTCACTTAAGAATATGGTCTCAACTTGCATCCATTTACCTCTAAAACATTCAAGTTTGTCTTTCTTTATGGCTGAGTCATGCTCCATTATATTTAAAAAAAAACAGATTTTTTAATCCATTTCGCAGATGATATGCATTTGGGTTGGCTCCAAGATTTACCTACTATAAGCATGCTGCTACAAACATGAGTGCACATATATTACTGTGGTGTGATGTTTTTAATTCTTCTGGAAAGACACTCAGAAGAGAAACAGCTTGGTTAAATGGGAACATTAGTCCTAGCTTTTTGAGGAATCTCCACACTGACTTCCACAGTAGTCGTACCAGTCTACACTCCCACCAACTGTGGAGAAGGGTTCCTTTTACACCAGAGCCCCTCCAGCATTTGTTATTGGCTGATTTCTTAAGGATAGCCATTCTTTCTTGGATGAGATGGAATTTCAGTGTTGTTTTAATTTGCATTTCTCAAATGACCAATGATGTTGTCCATTTATTATATATTTATTTGTCATGTGCATTTATTTACCTGTGTACTCACAGCAGATATCTATTTTTGATTGGGTCTTTGAATTTGAGGGGCCTGTTTCTTTCAACTCTTTATATGTTCTAGATAAAAGTCCTGTGTCTGAGGGACCATTGGATAAATTTTTCCCAGTTTTTGGGTTTTCTTTTCATTCCATTGATGATTTCTTCAGATGTGCAGAAGCTTATTAAAAAGATTAGATCCCTGTTGTTGATTCTTCAAAATATTTCCTGCCCAGTTTGGATTTTGTTCATGAAGCCTCTGCCTATCCCCATGTCTTCAAGATTTCTACCTGTTTTGTCTTCCAATAGATTTATTATTCCTGCTTTAATATTTAGAGCTTTGATCCATGTTGACTGTAGTGCATGGTGATAGAGATGGGTCTACTTTTAACCATCGATTTTGCAAGAGTTAAATGACAGTAGGACAACAGGACACATAGATCATAGAAGAGAGAAGGTGGAAAAAGAAAGAAGTTAGGAAGATCAGTTGGAAGAGCCATAAAGGCAGAGAATTAAGAGATGAGAGTACAAATAGAATACAAGAATGAGAACATTTGTGTCTTAGGACATAGCTCAATGGCGTAGGGATTTTAGGCCTGAGAGATTCAAAGGGTTATTCCAAACATCTTTGAGTGATAGGGGCATGTTAGCAACTTATCATCATTCTAAAAAATTCATTTTAGTTCACAATTTCAGAGGATTCAGTCCATGATTTGTTGACTCAAAGGCAGAAATAGCTGGTGGAAAGGGATGAAACAAAGGTATTCAACCCTTTGCAGCCAGGAATGGGGATGTGGCTCCTGATTAGAGCTTCCAGGTCACACTTCCTAGTGACCTAACTCTCTTTCTTCCTTTATTTTTTTATTTTTTTTGGTGGAACCAGGGATTGAACTCAGGCCCTTGCACTTGCCAACTTGCCAGGCAAGCACTTATTCTACTGAGCTATCTCCCTGGCCCAGTTTAACTCTCTTTCAACACCTATGATTTCACTGATGCTTCATCTATCAATTTATGAATGGATGTATCCACTGGTCGATGCAGTGCTCCCATGATCCAGTCACCTTTCAAAAATCCCAGCTCTGAACACATGAGATTTCAGGGAGATATTCTTTACCTAAACGATGAGAAGAACTATGACCTGGTTGGTACCTGAGAACTGAGAACAGTGCTGGGTGAGACCCTGGCGACAGCTGTCTCTTCTATGGATTCTCATGGTAGTTCCAGTAGGATTATGCAACCAAATAAACTATATCAGCACTCCTCAACAAATAGGATATAACACAAATTGCAACAAAAGCACTGTGGTGAATCTGGCCTTGGACAAGAGACGTGGAAAGGGAAAGTGTGAGCAGGTGACAAATCCATAAACTCTGATCACAAAACACAGGCTACCAGCTCTCAAGATTCTCAAACACTTAGCATACAATAACATTTTGGTAGCATTGTGATTCTTTAAAAATATCAGTCTGTGTAGCTAGTCATAACTGCACTTCAAAATAGCTAGAAAGAATTAGATTTTGAAAGTTCTCTTTATAAAGAAGCTAACAATATTTGAGATAATAAATAAGATGATCATCCTGATTTGGTCTTCCCAGGGCCAGAGATATAGCTCAGCAGCACAAGTACTTGCCTGGAATGCATAAGGTCCTGAGTTTGATTCCAAGTACCAAAGAAAAAAAATAAAATAAAAAAGGGCTTTGATATTATCCTAAAGTATACATACATGTATTGAAATATCACATTATACCTACAAATCTATGTGCATTTGTTATTTATCAAGAATAAAAGGAAAGCCAATATTTTGGCCCTAGCCTTCTAAGGTCAATTAAGACTCAGGACATATGAAAACTTGTACTGTAATGTCATGTAACTCGGTAGTGTCCCAAATTTTCTGATCAAGGAGATTATGGGGCCAAAGAGGAAAGTGATCGATCAGGTAGAGTGGGCCTAAGGAGAGTCACATGGAGAGAAAACATTCTCTCAGGCTTTCACAGAGAGCACATTGGCCAAGCAAGGGCCGTGACTCATCCACATGGCTGACACTGACAAAGGTTCTACAATTGGAGGTACAGGATCTCAGGATAAATCCTGAGGGGATTTCACTGACCTTCTCAGACCAAAAAGCTACAACTCTTGTTGCATAGGTCCTGCTTTACCTTGGTCTTAACCATCCAGTAGAAAAGTATAAAAACGAAATATAGGAAGTAAAGCCATGCTGTTATGTTGAGCTATGGGGGACTCAGGTCAATAATTTCTGACGTTGCCAGTTAAACAGAAGACCCAATGCTATTATGGGCTACTGGACTCTTTTAGAATATTTTGCTGAGTTTACACACCTATAATATTCAAATAACAACTTAACAAAAAAAGGGTATACAGATGAATGTCCATTTTGTATCTGTGTATTCAAAGTGATTAGGATAGATATATAGTTGCATTCTCTTAATGAATAGAATGATTTGTTTTAATAGTGTTTGTAAATAGGATCTCAAGTCCGCATCTTGTACAGCAATTAACCACTAAGAAGAATATATGCAGTGTATTATTTGTTGAAACTGTACTTCCGATTTGATTTGAAACTGTCTCATTGCTATCTGTTTATCAATAAAATTTTGAAAAAAAGGAAAAAGAAAAAAAAGAAATAAAAAAGAAAAAGAAATAAGATAAAAAATAGCAGTCAATTCAAGCTATAATTGTTTCCCATCTAAAATTATAACACCCTGACTAACTATATATGCTGATCCCTGTGAACTGAGCAACTGCACTGAAGATAGCAATGTGTAATAGTAAGGTCATGCTTGAAATGCCTGTAATTCTGGTCTTCTAAATATGTACTGCTTCTCATGACATACCAGTTATGACCAGACTGTATCTCAAGTAAATTTTTTTTGTCTTTTTTTTAAAAAAAGGCTAATAAATGAAAAAAAAAGAGATAAGAAAAGAAAAATGTCACAGGACTATCCTGCTACAATGATGTATGTGGTTATATTTCTAAACTTCTGTGTAAAAATATGCTAACTATTTATTCATATTTTAATTTTTTTAAATTTTTTAAATTCTTTTTCCATATTCTGTAGAAACTTGAAGTTTAACAACTTGATGAAAAATACACGTTCCATCTTGTGCCTAAGATATTTGATATTCAGACAGATAGTGAGGTTAGACACAACTGCATATGTTATAGGGTAATAATAAGCTTCTCTTCTGGAGGGTTAACAATCTAAGTTTGTAGACCAAAAATTAGAGAAATACAATGGCTACAAAGACAGCCAACATCTTGGCCCTAGCCTTTCAAGGTCAGTGAGGACTCAGGACATAGGAGAACCTATACTGTAACATTTAACTCAGTTATATCCCAAATTTTCTGACCAAGAAGATTATGGGGCCACAGAAGAATGTGATCGATGACGTAGAGTATGTCTAAAGAGAGTCACATGGAGAGAAAACATTCTCTCAGGCTTTCACAGAGAGCAAATTGATCAAGCAATGGCCACGACTCATCCACATGGTTGATACTGACAAAAGATCTACAAAGTGCAGTACAGAATTTCAGGATAAGTCCTGAGGGGACTTGACTGAACTTATCAGATACAAAAGTTACATTTTTCTTGATATATAAGTCTTGCTTTATCTTAGTCTTAACCATCCAGCAGAAAAGTATAGAAACAAAGTATGAAAAGCAATGCCAGAAAACACTCTCGGGCTTTCACAGAGAGCACATTGGCCAACCAATGGCCATGACTCATCCACATGGCTGCACTGACAAAAGTTCTACAATCTGAGGCACAGGATCTCAGGATAAATCCTGAGGGGATTTCACTGACCTTCTCAGACCAAAAAGCTACAACTCTTATTGCACAGGTCCTGCTTTACCTTGGTCTTATCCATCCAGTAGAAAAGTATAAAAACGAAATATAGGAAGTAAAGCCATGCTGTTATGTTGAGCTGTAGGGGACTCAGGTCAACAATTTCTGACATTGCCAGTTAAACAGAAGACCCAATGCTATTATCGTCTACTGGACTCTTTTAGAATATTTTGCTGAGTTTACACACCTATAATATTCAATAACAGAACTTAGAAAAAATAGGGTATACAGACGAATGTCCATTTTGTATCTGTGTATTCAAAGTGGTTAGGATAGATATATGGTTGCATTCTCTTAATGAATAGAATGATTTGTTCTAATGGTGTTTGTAAATAGGATCACAAGTCTGCATCGAATGTCCATTTTTTATCTGTGTATTCAAAGTGGTTAGGATAGATATATGGTTGCATTCTCTTAATGAATAGAATGATTTGTTCTAATGGTGTTTGTAAATAGGATCACAAGTCCGAATCTTGTACAACAATTAACCACTAAGAAGAATATATGCAGTGTGTTATTTGTTGAAACTGTACTTCTGATTTGATTTGAAACTGTCTCACTGCTATCTGTTTATCAATAAAATTTTGGAAAAAAAAAAAAAGAAAAGCAATGCCATGTTAATATGCAGAGCTGTGGAAGGCTCAAGTCAACAGATTCAGATATTGCCAGTCCTGTGGATAACCCACTACTATTGTGGAGTACTGGGCTATATAGGAATATTTTACCAAATTCATGCACCTACAATATTTGGATGGCAATGGAATACCCATCTCTGGCAAAACTAAACAAAAAAGGAGATATAAATGAAGGACAATTTTGTATCTGTATATACAAAATAGGATAGATATATAGCCACTTTCTCTTAATTCAATAAGAAGAAAGATCTGTACTAACAGTGTTTGGACAGATATCATGTCTGCATCCTGAGCTATGAATGACTACTACAAAGACAACAATATGCAATGTATTAATTGTTGAAACTCTCCTACCAACCTGTTTTAAAATTGTCTCATTGCAATTTTTTCTCAATAAAATTAATAAAAATAAAAAATTATAAATCCATGGGCCAGGGAGATGGCTCAGTTGAATAAGCGCTTGCCTGGCAAGCAAAAGGGCCTGTGTTCAATCCCCGTTTCTGCCAAAAAATAAATAAACAAATTAAGTAAATAAAAGATAAAATTATAAATCCAGACTCTCTACTAAAACTCACCCCTGCCTCCTTACTAACCTCACCTTACACTGACCTCTGTGATTACTCATGTGGTCCTCTTCAGCGTCCCTCAGGGCCCTTGCATTTCCCATTTGGAATTCTTTTCACAGATTTTCCCTTATTTCAGGACTCTGCTCAACATTACTGTGTTCTTGAGGGCATCTCAGAGGATCCTCTTTCCATTTCCAACTTCCTCAATGCTCACAGCCATTCTTTTTCCCACTGGTGATAAGTAGTTCTTATCACCATCCAGCATGCTCTATTCACCTTTTTTTTTTTTTTACTAATTTTATTGAGACAGTTTCAAAACCAATTAGTAGGACAGTTTCAACGATTAATACATTGCATATTGTTGTCTTAGTGTTATTCATAGTACAAGACACAGACATGATATCCTGTCCAAACACTATTAGTACAAATCTTTCTTATCAATGAATTAAGAGAAAGTAGTTATATATCTATACTATTTTGTATATACAGATACAAAATGCTCCTTCATTTGGATCCTCCTTTTTGTTTAGTTTTGTCAGAGATGGGTATTACCTTGCCATTTAATTATTGTAGTTGTGTGAATTCAGCAAAATAATCCAAAATAGTCCAATACTTTTCTGCTGGATGGTTAAGACCAAGATAAAGCAAGACTTATATAACAAGAAATATAACTTTTGTATCTGCCAAGGTCAGTCAAATCCCTTCAGGATTTACCATGAAACTCTGTACCACAGTTTGTAGATCCTTTGTCAGTGTCAGACATGTAGATGAGTCATGGCCATTGCTTGATCAATTTTCTCTCTGTGAAAGCCTGAGAGAATATTTTCTCTCCATGTGACTCTCCTTAGACACACTCTACATCATCAATTACTTTCCTCTGTGGAAATTTTTTTTTCAGAACCAGGGATTGAACTCAGGCCCTTGCACTAGCCAGGCAAGCACTTATTCTACTGAGCTATCTCCCCAGCTCCTCCACTCATTCACTGAATGTGCACATTTACTTGTTTTACTTCCCCAATCTTCCCCTGTCAGTTGCCCTGGGTGTGCACCCCATACCACATCCCATTACCTAGAATAGTGGGTGGCAGTGACAGGTGCTCAGTAAAGATATGTTGAGTGAACAAATGGCTAAACTCAAAAATCTCATGCCTTTTCTGATTTCAGGGAACAGCATCTATTTTAGGATGCTGTGCTGAGAACCACTTGGATACTGTTCTAAAAGTTCTTAAAGCATTCCAAGATGAAGAAAAGTTTTTTATGAATCGATGTAAGGTAAAAAAAAATAATAAATTAAATTAAAAAGTCATCTTCTCTAAAGTTCTCAGCCAGTACATTGACAAAAAAAATACAATTTCTTCAGTAAATGTCCTTTGTCTTGTTCCTAACCTCAAGTTCCTATCCCACATCAGAATGGCTCAAGCCTGGGTCTACAGGATATAACAAGTGTACTTAGTGATGCTCATTGGGAAGTTCCTGAAAAATCCCACATGTGCCTGTGTTTTTCCCACCACCAACTGTTCAGGAAACCTGCACAGCTTCCCTTGTGTATACTCTGCCTCCCCTGGAGAAGTTATGCAATAAGAATTTTAGAAGTATCCCATAGTTACTTCTATTAGTCCCTCTGATGATGTCATGATCGTCCTGGCTATTTATGTTGGTATATAATTAACAGTATGTCAGTTTTAGATTGCATTCAATCATCCCAGTCCAGATTCTTAAATCCTATAGTAACTCACAAGATTAGGAAAATATATAAGGGGAGAAAAAAGGAAATCCTTAATTAACTCTCATTACTTTTATCTCCCTCTCCTGGTCTTTAGAGTATTTTTTCTGGGAAAAAGAGCCTGACCAAGACGGATGTCATAGTAATCTATGGTGCTGTGGCTCTCCATGCTCCCAAGCGGCAACTCCTCACCAGGCTGCATCAGGATATCATGACCCAAATCCTGTGTCTTTATGGCCAGTGCTCTCAGGTAACATCCCTCAGATGGCTGCCTCCGTGTTCAAGCCTAGGTTACCAAACCTTGCAAGGGTCCATTCTGAGCATCTTCAGACTCAATGACTACAAGAAAGAGAGAAAGCAGGGGGTGAGGGGAAGGGAAGCAAGGAAGGAGGAAGGGGGGGGAGATTTGTAGAACATGGTGTGTTTGGGAAATGAGAATGCATGCAAGCATAAATATTTACTATGAAGAAGTAAGGTCAAGTAGCTTGTTTCCTTGGGCAATGCCTATCCTGTCTTATGCCATCCGGATCAGTTGTATCCATAGTGATCTCAATCTTGTTTAAACTTGAAATAATTACTCCTGTCCTACTTTAAGGCAGCTGGCTTAGTGCCTCCCCGGAGGTTTTCAGATGTGTTATTCAATGGTAATTGTTTAACTTTCTCTTTAAATGATCATATTTATCACCACCTAGAGCAGGGTGTCACACATATTAAGTAGCATCCTATGTGTTTTTAAGTGAATAAAATGTGTCACATATTGGGGTACTCAGTCTACCCCATGTTGTCATATTTTCCCCTTCCACCTGCATCCCAGCTACCCTGAGCCTCCTTGGTACCTGTCAGACAAGAGCACTGCAGCTTCAGAGCCACAGAACTGAACTGGAATTCACCTGGCCATTTCTCTCCTGTGAAGCACTCATTTCTTTAATAGGCTGTTTCATACATTTGGTAGATTCAAAACAACTTTACTCACATTGTGTTGGCCACTGAGGACTCACCTAGAGATGAAGTTTGAAATAGAGTTTCCTGGAGTGATTTTCCCGAAAAGCTGAGCAAGTAGGTCCTAGGAGGGAATGTAGAAATCTGTACACTTAAAAGATTTATGAGCGCTTCCTATCCACAGGCGGTGTGAGGAGCTTTCATTGATTATGTGTACATCTACTTCTCCCCTTAGACCACCTGCACTACGGCATTAACCTCTGTACCTGAAGCTTCTCTCCGTGTCTCCACAAACCACACATTCGCTCCATATGCGCCCTTGACAGTCGTTCCCGTATTTATGCAATATGAACAGTGTCACAGGGAGCTCATAAAGTCTTTGATAGAAGCACACACAAATTAAAGGTTTGGGCCAGTGATTTTCATACTTCAGTAATTGCCTGAACAGCCTGTTAAAAATAGAAATATCTAATAAATCAGTCTTTAGGGATTGAATCACTGAATCCGTATTTTCAACACGTTCCTCAGGAGCTGATTTTGATGCTCCCAAAGCTGATAAGCAATAATGAGAAGCAAAAATATAATGAAAGGGGTTTTATGGTAGTCAGTCCTTGAGGGAACTAGTATAGAATTAAAAGAAGACTGATAAAGATAATTTCATACTTTGAGCGAGGTGGGGTGGTGACACCTGTCACCCAAGCACTTAGGAGGCTGAAGCAGGACAAGTGTTATAAATTCAAAGTCATCCTGGACTAAATAGAGAGTTCAAGATCAGTCTGAGCTGCACAGTGAGACCCTGTGTAAAGACACATTTAAAAAGACATAAGAAGAGGATTTTTTCTTTCTTTTACTTATATCTGGTAATCTCTACAACTAATTTGAAGACAACCTTATACAATACAATAACCATTGCTGAATTTCTATCGTTTTGTTTACTGAAATTCTGCATCATTTCTAATTGGCTTTTTCTTTTACTATTTTCTATTTTTTCTATTTTCTATTTTTTAAAAAACACAAAAATAAACAATAAAATAAATAAAAAGATGGAAGAGTTGATTTTAAAGTAAAAATACTGAATACCAAAACCGTGAAACACCCAAACCCAGTTGAAAATGGTGTGCTTTTTGGCACAGTGGAGGGAAAGGGCTTTCTGAAATCCAACAGAAAACAGCAGCACCAGAGCGGGTGGCTGTGTCTCCTGGTGCAGGGTAAGCCAAGGCAGCAGGTGGAGGTCTGTGGAGCTGTCCAGTTCAGCTTGGTGTATTTCCTACCAGCTCGATGCAGCTGTGAACTTTTCAAGGGCAGAACTGAACAGAGGCAAATATGAAACTGGCACATGCTGAAAGTATTCCTGGTGTATCATCCCTCCTGGAACAACTCTGCATTTTCAACACAAACAACATAGCAGATCTGACTGTACTCATAGTTCCATGGTCACCTGCTCCGTGGCTTCACTTTGTAACTTTTCAGTGTGCTCACCTGCAAGAGCCTTTACCCTTTCTCCTCAAAAATTCCATTAAGAGTCCTTTTAAAGTGATTGTGAAGCTTGGAAACCCAAAGGATTATCCTCCTGATCCTGACTTCTGGGCTCATGCTAGACTCACCTGAAGGTATACAAATGCTCACTTTTAAAACAATGGTGGAAGTGAGCAGCACCCACACCCATCAGGCCAGATGCCACTCACTTCTCTCCTTCAGAGATGATAGGTGGGTCCTTGGGGTGGGAATTCCACCAAGGGCTATTCACTCAGTGTCTGCTTTTGCTTTTAATTTTCAGGTTCTAGGCATGTCTGTGATGAACAAGGTATGAAGTGGTGACTTGGTGACAGAAATACTAGATGATAGATTAGATAGATATATACATACATAGATGATAGATAGATAGATAGATAGATAGATAGATAGATAGATAGATAGATAAACAAATCACGCTCGTTTAAAATATCTCAACCATAGATGTCCTCTTGATTTGATTCCAATGGAAAGGGTGGAAATACTGTGTATAACTAATTACTCTGATTCTGAAGCCAAGATTCATTAGCCTAACTGAGGACAGAACAAAAAAAGTTTGGTTACAGGAAATTATACCATGAGCTTTGAGCTGCAGTAGTGTCTGTCAAATTGTGGGCTATGACCCACTGGTGGACTATGATATCAAGTTAATAGGTCAAAAACACCACAAACATTTTGAGAAACAAAAGTGAAAGAGAAAATAGAAAGTTCTGTGCTATAATCTGTTTGTTTCTTCTTTGTAAGAGAGAATATTTTTGGTCTATGTTCTAGACTCTTGAGTGACTACTTTGAAAATGATACACAGTGTATTGACTATGATTACTTTATTATTTTGTTACAAAATTTTATTTTTTCATAAAAAATAATAAAATCCTTACAAAAAAGAAAACTAAATTAAATATAACAGCAGTAACTTTCTGTGCATTGAGTTATATATTAGATATGTTTGGGATAGGTAAATCGAACTGTTTTCTGCTGAGATACATGGTCAGAAATGTAAAACTTTCTGGGCTCTAGAAAAATTTCAGTCTATAATGGGGTAGAGAACGGAGTAGTCTTTGCTTCTCAACTTCCCTGCAATTTGTTACCTCAAGTAGGGTAGAAAGGTCAAAGGGAGCAAAGCTTCCCCTCAAAACTAGGTTGCATGTTTATAGACCCTGCTGTGGTGCCCAAGACCTTAGCTTGGGCTGAGAGCCATTTCGCTTCAGGACATGGATCTGCAGATGAGCTTCACCAGAAGCATCACTGAGATTGGCATTGCTGTCCAGGACGCCGAGGACCAGAGCTTCCAGTTTTCCTACAAGGAGATGCTAATCAGCCAGATGCTGGTGAGTGTGTACAGAAGGATGGAGGGAGAGCATGAAGGAAGAACCCCAGGGGCATGTGACAGATCCCTGCCATCTTTCTGAACTTGGGGTTCCCAAAGTTGGAGCTGCCTCTGGCAGTGCCCTGAGGCCTTTTTAAACATTTCACTTTCTTGTGCTGCAGGACTTCATACGGGATGAGCCCCTGGATTCCTTAGCTAGTCCAGTTCGGTGGAAAGCCTTAATTGCCATCAGATATCTAAGGTAGAGAAATTGCTATTTTCATTGAAAATGCATTTGTTCCCCTCCTCCTCGCCCCGTCCACTGACAAATCAGTTGACTCTGTACACCCACAAAAGTGAACACGGTCCACTATTTTCAGACAGAAGCATTGTCTCCGTTCAGGGACCATGCTACCCGAGAAGTCAGTCATTTGATGACTGATAGGGACACCAAGCTGCTCAGAAGACTCAGGCCTATTGGTAGATGAGACTGAAATTTATGTGCAAAAAATTCTCACCCTAGGTCTTGACTGGCAAGCAAGTTTTAATCTTCTATTAAAAACTCAGGAAAGCCTAAAACTCATGTTCTTGTTGGCTCACTGAAATAAACCTGAGGAAGAAAATACTTTAAAGCAAGTTTTTAAATATCAGTGTTTCCACTGAAGTAAAATAAATACAAGTTTATTCAACTGATCCCTCTCTTCTATGTTATGATCAACTTGCTTGCCCTTTCTGATTGAACTGATGCTATTTAAAACCCTCATCCAGGGGCTGGGGAAATAGCTCAATGGTCTAAGCACCAGCCTGGCAAGTGCAAGGACCCAAGTTCAATCCCTGGTACCACATACCATGCTGGCCATGGAACCCTGGGTACACTATGCAGGTCCCAAAACCAGGCATGGTGGCACACACTTGTAATTCTAGCACTGGGGAGGCTGAGACAGGAGGATCACTATGAATGTGAGACACATAGACTTTGTATCCAAAAAATAAAATAAAACAAAAAGACCCTCATCCAAATCTGACCAGATGCCAGCACCAAAAATCTAAACAAATGCTCTTCTCCTTCTAGAAAACTAAGTCCAAATAAACCTTTTAACTGTATAAAAGTATCCAGTGCCAAATATCCTGTTTTAGCAACAGAATATATATATATAATATGTATACACAAAATAGAATATATATACAGCTACTTTCTCTTAGTTCAATGAGAAGAAAGATTTGAACTAATAATGTTTAGACAAGATATCATGTCTTCATCTTGTACTCTGAATAACTATTATGAAGACAACCATATGCAATGCATTAATTATTGTAACTGTCCTACTACCCTCTTTTGAAATAGACTCATTTCTATTTCCTTTTCAATAAAATTAATTTTTAAAAAGCAAAAAATACAAGTTTATTGTTTAAATGTGGAAAGTATTTAAAAAATTAAAACAATAAACACTTATAGTCAGTCTATTATTAACATTTTGACATTCTTCAAGTGTTCATTTCTAGTTCTATTGAGATTCTACTTACATATGATTATTCACTCTGATTTTTCTAATTTCATGTTATATATTCCAACATTCTAGGTTCTTCACAAACATTTTTAAATTGTTGTTGATGTTTAATTATAACAAAATATACTACATAGAACTTATCATCTTACCTTTAAGTATAACAATTCAATAATATTAAGTACATTCATATTGCTGTCTAATCAATCTCCAGGGGTTTTTTTTAATCTTATAAAACTAGAACTCTATGCATACTGAGCAACTCCTCTTTCTGTGCACCCCCAGCCCCCTGGTAAGTACTCACCATACTGTTTTCTGTGTCTGTGAATTTGTCTACTCTAGATAGCTTATGGGGGAAGAGGATAGGGATTCAGCTCTGTGGTATAGTGCTTGACTAGCATACGTGAAGCTGTGGGTTCAATCTCCAGTACAGAGAGAGAGAGAGAGAGAGAGAGAGAGAGAGAGAGAGAGAGAGAAACAACAAAAACAGGTACCTTACACAAGTGAAATCATATGGTATTTGTCTTTATGTGAATAGACATTTAACCTATAATGCCCTTAAGATCCATCTGTGCTAACATGTTAATCATTTTTAAGATAAATAATATTTTATTAGTGTTGGTGAGATAGCTTAGTGGACTAGGTGCTTGCTTAGGCAAGCACAGGGACCAGGATTTGATCCCCAGTCCCACATACTGCACAGGCCCTGCCCGCAGGATGTGCTGAGCCAGCGATAGAGTCCAGGCATGGTTGTGTACACCTATAATTCCAGCACTGGGGAGGATAAAAACAGGAGGATCACTACAAGTCTGAGCTATGTAGTGACACCTTGTACCAAACATAAAATAATAATAATTAATAATAATAATAATATTTTATTTTATGTTTGAGAGTTGATCAAAATATATGGTGAATGTGTAATTTTTAAAAATTTTATTACAATAAAAACACATTGCAGTTAATACACTTTGAAATACTCCTGGAGTGTGCGGAGAGTTTCCTGCTACCCTGCGCCGGCGGGACCAGTCCCAGCCCAGGCGCAGCGTGGGCCAGACCCTCTCCCAGCCCCTCGGGGCGCCCCCCCCCACTCCGCAGTGCCTCCCCCCCCCCGCCCGCC